CAGGGATGGGGCATCTGCCACCTCTCTGGGCAACCCGATCCAGCGTTTCACCACCCGCTTGGTAAAAAATATCTTCCTTCTATCTAGTCTAAACCTATCCTTTTTTAGTTTAAAACTGTTACCTCTTGTTCTGTCACAACATGCCCTACTAAAAAGTCTGTCCCCATCTTTCTTACAAGCCCCCTTTAAAGTATTGAAAAGGTGCTCAAAAATATTGAGGACTCCTTCCCTTCTCCAGGCTGAACAACCCCAGCTCTCACATAGGAGAGATCTTGCATCCCTCTGATCGTTTTGTGGCCCTCCTCTGGACCTGCTCCAACAGCACCACATCTTTCCTGTGCTGAGGACTCAAGTGTGCTGTGCTGTTTATGAGCACGTTCATGACCTGAGCTTCTAAAAGGCAAAACACTATCATGTCAGCAAACTGATAACTTTTGTTTTGTTTTGTTTTGGTTTTTTGTACAAATACCACCTCCAGCACAGGGCATGGGGTAGTAAAGCTAACATCCCGTGTCTGGTGTCTCTTAGTTGTTCTGGCAGAGACTCACAGTTGATAGAACATCGTCCAGGTCAGCAGCATTGCAGAGATTTCTTTTTTCCCCCCCTTTTCTCTTTAACAGGCCTTCTGAAAGTCTTATACTGAGTAGTATCTCCACTTTGACTATACCTGGATGCTGCACTTGTAGTCAAAATAAAGGAAGATGAAGAAATTAAATTTCTTGTCTTGTTACTACTAGCTTCTCATGGATGTGGGCAGGGCTGCTGCCCCTTTAAACCTTGGTCACCTCTGTGTTTGTGGACAGCTCCTGGTCTTGCCCACATCCAAATTCCGTGTGTGCCGAAATGCGCAGATGCTAAGCGCGTAAGTGTGTGGTGTCACATCAAGGAGAAATTGTGTTTGGTGCCATCACCGAGGTCTAATTAGGTCTCTCCTGAGTCATCTCATGAACATTGTCAGTGGGAACAGAGGATGAGTAAGAGTTCCGAATAAGATATTTGCTCTTTCCTGAGGAGGAGGAACATCAAGACCTAGGGACTGGAGGCTTCTCCAGGAACATTTACTCCAGCCCTAACTGAGGATCACCGTAGGGCTATGGTGAGTGCTCCTGGATCTTCAGAGAGGAGCATCAAGGAAAAAAATGTGTAGTCAGAGTAATTTGTTAGTAGTGCTTTGGAGTGAGGCATGCCTCTAGAAAGGTGACTGATGGTTACACACAGCAGTGGAGTGATCTCTGTGAAATGTTAATTCAGTAAATGAGTTGTTCCAGAGTCGTGAACGCTTCTGAGAATATACTTGCAGCATTTGTTCTCTCTTGACTGCCGTTCCACACTGTTGTACAAGTGGAAAATACTGTCTTTCATCGTCGTGGTGCAGATTTTAGCTACTTTGAGGTTACGGTATAGAAACTGTGGAGCTGGCTGGGCAGAATTATTAACTACATCTACCTAAAGTGCCTTCACTGCTTCTGCAGTGTGCCGACCTTGGAGACAGAGAAGTCATGCTTCTGTGCTACTGTGCATCTAGAGCAGGATCCTCACCCTCCGAACGGCAGTATGATGGCTCAGTCTGGATAACTAGAAGCAGCACATATGGATAAGCTGGGCTGAGCTAACACACTTTCTCAATAAGCTGGAGGCTGAAATGTGCTGTGGAGACATCAGAATAGCTGGAGCTGTCCTGATCCTATTGTACTCCAAAGGGCAAATCCTGGTCCCATGTGGTCACATAACTTTGTGGCTGTCCCCTCTGTTTATCTAGAAGGGCTGAACGAATTGGTGTTTTTTTTTTTTCCTTCTCCTATTCCTGCCCCCCCTCCATGTCACGATTGTGCTTACTATAGATTACATTTTATGCTCATTGTCATGGATTAGCCCAGACTCAGTGCTTGTTGGGAAGCAATGGACTCTGGCCATATGGAAACTGGTTTTACAATGGAAGAGTGCTCAGGAAGACCAAAATGGAAGCAATTCTCAGGGAAGACCAGCATGATGAAAATCTCTGCTCATATGCCTTGTAGTGTGAAACTCTAGAAGTCTCAGGAGTGAAGAGTAGGTGTCTGTTTACTTCTCAAAGTGCACTGTGTAGGAAATGAAGGTGGTCTTTACTCTGTGGCTGCCACAGGTCTGATAGTCCTTTATGGCTCCTGGTTCAGCACTGCACAGTAGCCCCGTCTCTGATTCTCCGTTGCCTTTGGGACATACAGGTGGCTGATGTCTGGCTTGCACAGCACCTACAGGCTGATCTTGCCTGACCAGCGTTCCTTCAGCTAACTGCAAGGCATGAACACAAGGGAAAAATGAGCTATGTACTTAAATTGTCACATCTGTGTGTCAGCGTGTTATATATAAACTGCAGTCATCAGGATCACTTAGTGCGAGATGAAACATGTCTCACTGAAGAGTGGTTGGCCTCAAGCTTTGAAAGGGTCGGTATTCAACATTTTGCGTGTGCAGTGCTCCCAGACCAGAAGGTCTCTGGCAGGCTACACCACCCGTGGGGCTTTTAGCCTCCAGTGAGCCTAGCAGCCCCACCTGTCAGCCTCCCCAAGCTTTCTCCGTGCCAAGGAAACGGGAAAGGTTTATCAGTATTAATGATAAACAGAGTATTGTGGTTTAACTAGTATGCAAAAATTTACTGTTGGAGAGGAGTTAATCATGTGTTGAATTTAATATTAAACCCTAGCAAGTTACTTAATAGCTGCCA